ACATAAAAGATAATGAGAGAGAAATCTAAATTTCACACAAAAGAAAGTCATCAACCATGAGGGAAAAGAAGAGAGAGAGAAACTATAAAAACAGCTAGAAAACAACAAGAAGGAAATGAGTATATAACTATCAATAATTACCTTAAATGTAAATGGCCTAAATTCTCTAATGAAAATAGAGTAGCAGAATGAATAAAAAAGGCTTATCTGTATGATACTCACTACAGATACTCACTTGAGATCTAAGGACACACACAGACTGAAAGTGAAAGGATAGGAAAGTACATTCTATGCAAATAGAAATTAAAAGAATGCTGGTGTAGCTGTACTTATATGAGTCAAGACAGACTTTCAAACCAAGGCTGTAACAAAAGACAAAGAAGGACATTACCTAATGATAAAGGAGTCAATCCAACAATAGGTTATAACATTGGTGAATATTTATGCACCCAACATAGGAGCACCTAAATATAAAGCAAATATCAACAGAGAAAAAGTGAGAAATTAACAGCAATATAACAATAGGGAACTTTAACACTCCACCTATACCAATGGATATATCATCCAGACAGAAAGTCAGTAAGGAAACATTGACCTTAAACAACACATTAGACCAGAATACAGAACATTCTCTCCAAAAGCAGCATTATACACATTCTTCTCAAGTGCACAAAGAACATTCTCCAGGACAGCTTATATGTTAGGTCACAAAATAGTCTCATAAATTGAAGAAGACTGAAATCATATCAGAAATCTTCTCTAACCAAAATGGTATGAAACTAGAAATTGATTCTATTAATATAGAAAATGGAAAAATCACAAACACATGGATTTGAAACAACATGCTACTGAACAACAAATGGGTCAGAAAAGAAAGCAAAGGGGAAATAAAAAAATTACCTCTAGACACATGAAAACAAAAACACAACATACCAAAATCTATGGGGTGCACCAAAATTGAGTCTAAGACAGAAGTTCATAACAATACAGCCCTATCTCAAAACACAAAAAAATTCTAAAATAAACAGTAACTTTACACCGAAAGGAACTAGAAAAGGAAGAACAAAGTCTAAAGTTAGTGAAGAAAGAAAATAATAAAGATCAGAGTGGAGATAAATAAAATTGAGACTTTAAAAAACACAGAAAAGAATCTAGGGGATGGTTCTTTGAAAAGATAAACAAAATTTACACACCTCTAGGTAGACTCACTAAGAAAAAGAAGGTTCAAATAAGTCTGAAATGAAAGAGAAGTTACAACTGCTACCAAAGAAATATAAAGGATCATAAGAGACTACTATGAACAATTACATGCCAACAAATGGACAACCTAGAAGAAATGGATAAATTCCTAATAACATTCAATCTTCCAAGACTGAATCATGAAGAAACAGAAAATCTGAATAGACTGATCACTAGTAAGGAAACTGAATCAGTAATCAAAACCTCTCAACAAACGAAAGTCCAGAACCAGACAGTTTTACTGGTGGATTCTACCTAATGTTCAAAGATTTTATACCTATTTTTCTCAAACTCTTTAAAAAAATTGAACAGGAGGGAACATTTCCAAACTCATTTCAGGAGGCCAGCATCACCCTAACAGCAAAACTAGATAAGGACATCACAAAAAAAGAAAATTAAAGGCCAACATCCCTGATGAACCTAGATGTAAAAATCCTCAACAAGTTATTAACAAAACAAATTCAACAATACATTAAAAGGATCATATACTATGATCAAATGGGAATTACTCCATGGATGCAAGGATGGTGCAACATTGATGAATCAATCATTGTGAAACACCATGTTAACAAAATCAAGGATAAAAATCATCTCAATAGATGCAAGAAAAGCATTTAACAAAATCCAATCATCCACTCAACAAAGTGAGAATAGAAGGGAAGTACCTCAACATAATAAAGCCATATATGACTGACCTAAAGCCAGTGAGAAACTGAAAGTTTTTCCTCTAAGGTTAGGAACAAGATAAGGATGCCTTCTCTCACCACTTTCATTAAACATAATTTTGGAAGTCCTAGCCACAGCAATTAGCTAAGAAAAGAAATAAAAGATATCCAAACTGGAAAGTAAGTAGTAAAACTGTCACCTTGTGCAGATGACATGTTACTGTATATAGAAAACTGAAAGACTCTACTAAAAAACTATTAGAACTGATAAATGAATTCAGTAAAGTATATATTCAGTAACACTGATATATATATATTCTATATACTTCTATAATACTTCTATATTATACACTAATAATGAATTACCAGAAAGAGAAATTAAGAAAACAATCCCATTTACAATTAGATAAAAAGAATAAAATACATAGGAATACATCTATAACCAAGAAGACGAAAGACCTGTAAATTGAAAACTACAAGATAATGATGAAAGAAACTGAAGAACATACAAATAACTGGAAAAATATTCTGTGCTCATTGATTAAAGATTAATACTGTTAAAATGCCCATACTACCCAAAGAAATCTACAGATTCAATGTAATCCCTATCAAAATACCAAAGGGATTTTTCACAGAACTAGAATAATTCTGTAAGTTGTATGGAACCACAAACCCCACATAGCCTAAACAATGCTGAAAAGGAAGAACATGCACCCTGATTTCAAACTGCAAAACAAAGCTATAATAATCAAAACAATATAGTATTGGCATAAAAACAGATACACAGATCAATAGAACAGAATAACAGAATAGAGAGCCCAGAAATAAACCCATGAATATACGGTCAATTAGTTGATGACAAAAGAGCCAAGGATATACTGGGGGAAAGAAGAGTCTCTTCAATAAATGGTAATGAGAAAACTGGACAGCCACATGCAAAAGAATTAAAGTTGATCAATGTCTTAACACCATATAAAAAAATTAGCTCAAAATGGATTAAATATTTGAATGTAAGACCTGAAACCATAAATTTCCTAAAAGGAAAACTATGTGATAACCTTCTTGACATTGGTCTTTGTAGTGATTTTTCTGGACCTGACATGAAAAGCAAAGGCAACAACAGCAAAAACAAACAAGTGGGACTACATCAAATTAAAAGGCTCTGCAGAGCAAAGGAAACCATCAAAAAAATGAAAAGTCAACCTACTGAGTGGGAGAAAATATTTGTAAATCATATATCTGATAAGGGGTTAATATGAAAAATTATACTTAGATAATTTCTAAAATAAGTTCTAAGGATAATTGTCTAAGATTTGGTTGGAGGGCACTTATTTACAGCTTTACCAGATATTGTCTAATTGCTCACCTAAGGATTTACAACAATTTATACTCCCAACAAACAGTATATGAAACTTCAGTATATTAAATCCTCCTAACATTTGTGGTGGTCAAATATTTTCATTGTTGCCAACTCAAAAGACCTAAAGTGTGGTATTAGTGAAATTATTTTATAAGTATTTTGCATGTATGGAAGGATTGAGCAAATGCATTAAGTATGTTGATGATATTAGGAATCAGAGTTCTTACTGTTGGATAAGGGAAATATAAATACTTAATATTTATAAAGATATATGGAGGTGAAGAAGAACTTGTTACTAGTTTGAACTGGAGATGAGTTACATATGAACTTATGACTTAAAAATGCATATATACATACATACAAATATCTATATATATTCATTGCAAAAAATGTATGTATGTGTGTATAAATAGTTCTGTATGTTGAAAATAGCCCAGAAGCAATGACATCCCAGAACAATAAAAAATTCTGATTTCTAAACATCATTCCCCAGTACAGTGAATCAGGGCACCTTACTGAAATGTCCAGTTCCAGATATGCAGCAAAGAATATACAAAGTCAGTCTGGAACATACGTTTGTCAGAAAGCAAGCAAGCACTCAGAGAATTATAGGCCCATACTTAAAAAAAGAACAAAAACAAGTAAAGGATTGTAATATATTAACTAATACTAATAGAATCCCCAAGTTCATAGTGATATTTTTTTTTAATGAGGAGAACTAAGTTCTTTTTACAGAGAAATTCTAACTAATAAATACAGAAGTAATGATGGAATTAGAAAAACCACTATTTCAAAACTGATTCAGACAAAGATCACCAATGAACATTAAAAGCACTGGATGAAAGATTTTACAAACAGAACAGTCATATGATCTCAAAGTATCACCCAGATTACTTACTAATTGTAAAGGGAAAATGGTACCTTTATGTGGGTAAGGTGGGGTTCCTATGACCAGGATCCTCATTGAATTTAAACCACCTGATAATGCAACTGGCCTGTTGCTTGGCTACTGTTTCCACACCTTTAGGCAATAAGCTATTATTGCACTATACAGAGAGCTCAGCCCAGTACTCTGGGTGGAGGCAGAGACGCTGGTGCTCGACCTACCGCCAGGAGAACAAGCCAGGTAATAAATCCTTTCACCCCAAAGAAACGTTCTACTGTTATTTCTTTGGTTACACTGAATTCATAGTGAACTTGCTGGGGGCTGAAACCCACTGGCAAGACACTTTACAGTTTGCCTTATGTTGGTGAGACAGGGCTTCTTTTCATGTTTATTAGCTATTCAGTTCTCCTCTGATGCTCACATTCTTCACCTGTCATTCTGTTTGTGTATTACTAATTGAATTGTGTATATACTTCGGACATTGTAATGCAAATATCTTTACTAAGTTTGTGACTATTTACGTTACATGTGTGGCAAACTTAATACATTTTTTCCCTACACTCAGGTTCATAAAGATAACGTACTGTATTTACTTCTGAAGGCTGAATTCTATTTAGCTGGTTTTTCTAATTGCTCAACAGTGAGCACTGGTATATAACTGTTGGAAGATAAAAGCCACCACTGCAGCCTCCTATCAATGTCATCTTTTGGTTCAAGAAGGTTTTCCAGCTTAATGTGGAGAGTCCTTTCAATAGGATGAATAATTGAAAATTGATATTTATAACAATATCTAATAAAGTTATAGTTTCAGGATATTAAAAAATAGAAAAGAATACTTCATAAACCTTACATGAGTGAACAAAATTTCATTCCTGAGCTCTTCAGAACTTTCATTTGGAGTCCAAGCTTCAGCAAACTGCAGAAAATCCCATTTTTCTTTATCACCTTCCTCAGCCTTAAGTTGTTCCTTCCTACCATTCAGTGTGCTCCCAGTAATCTGAGCCTGTAAGACAGGAAAACGTGAATTTTGTAAAAGTTCATCTCACAGCTGACCCTTAATAAGCAGGAACTTCATTTATCATTTAAATCACATGCCATCCACTAAAGAAAATCTTGTTTCAACATATCATGGGCTTTAGCAATACAATTATTTAAAATTATAACCAAATTACCAAGTCAATGATTCCTATGTTTAATGAGGAAAAGGTCTAACTGGAGAAGTTATACTATTTGTTTTTTTCATTAAAACTTATTCTAATATTTATAAACTTTGAAATTATACCTACATATGATTGGCCATTTGACTATCTATACTCAGCACCTGAAACACATTCTTCTAATTACCTAATCAAGTCCTTTCTATAAACATCCCTCAAGGTTTGGGAGAAGAGACAGCTGAGTGAACAGAGCAAGCAATGTCCTTCCTCTCTTTTCTAGAGTCTGGATACAGGCTGTCCTCTGTCCAAAACTAGCTGGGAGCTCAAGAATCTTTCTGAAATAGGGTTTATTCTGAGCTTACAGAAAGGACTTGAGGTTTGAAAGCATTATGGTTCCTTGCTAGCTCATCCTGTCCCTCCAGCCTCTAAAATGGTGGAAGGGCTTGGAAGGCAACAGCAATACATGTGAATTCATGTCTCTTACTACAGAGCAGAGCAGGAAGGGAATTACTTGAAGCCTTTTCTGGAGTTGGTCCTATTAACAGGGATATGTTACTATAGTTAGATATCTTTGGCCTGAAAACACTAAAACGCGGCCTCTTAACTACGCAGGCTATGAATAATAATGAGTAAGTTGGTAATTGAGTTTGACTTCAAGCTTTACCTTTCGATTCAACATCCCCCACATAAGAGTGTCTAGAGTCCCATTTGCAATGAGGTAGTGAATATTCACAGAATTGCACTGTCCAATTCGGTGAGCACGGTCTTCTGCTTGTTTTATATGTCCAGGATCCCAATACAACTCAGCAAATACGACATGGGTTGCAGCAGTAAATGTCAAACCCTAAGCAAAATAAAGTGAAGAAATTGAGATGCAAATAAACTGAGAATGTAACATAGAGCCACATATAATAAAGTCTTTCTGAACATGTTAAATGAACAACAGAATGCTGCAGGACTTTAAAACAAATTAGTCTTTCATTGTAAGCCAAATTAAGAAACTTTAACTCATGAAAGGCACATGAAGATGGCTTATTACAAGATGGCCAGGTGACTACACAAAATATATTTAGAAGGTATTTCAATATTTCAAAAGTCAGTTTGATGAATACATATATAAGCAAAATCACTTTATCCTCTGATGAAGACTGGATTCACACTACCATTGGAAAGTCCAATAAAATACATTATAAATGAGAATATAATTTCTAACACATGGTATCCATAGCAACTAGGCAGAAAGCAACGACGACATCCTCTTTTCATTTATTTCATGCTGCTGTTCTGTAATGCAAGAAAATCATGTCTCCAGTCATATTGTTCTCTTAAGAAATTTCCCGTTACATCCCAAAGACTTTGAAGTTTACTGGCTTGTATCTCAATATATGCAACACAATTGCATTTTCTGTGCAATTTGCATTTTATATCAGTTTGAACTAGTGAGAGACATTAAAAATCATAACTCATTTTATAATCAGTATATGAAACAATGCAAATCTCCTCAAATTAAAACATATCCAAAAACGTATGATTTTAAAGTTAGTAGGCTAAGTGAAATGTGAACCATGCTTATGCGATTGCCCCATAATAGTAAATGATGTTAGGTGGTCAACAGAAACAAACACCTACCATCCTTTGGGACTATCATCTAATCCATGCTCTTGTTCACACGCACTGCAATTTCTGTGAGTGAATGACTTTTGTGACCACTGTGCTGTTATTTTAAATTAAAATATTTTTGTATCACGTAACGATGTCATACTAGCATTTATTAATTGGTGGCACTAGCTCTCAAGCTGAAAAATTCATTCATCAATCACTTTGGAACAGAAATTAGAAGGGATGAAAGCATTCAGAGAGCTAAACAACCACCAGGCTGAACTGTGCTGCTATTTAGGACAGGAAACACCACAAAATATTAGAGAAAATGCTGAAAAGTAGGAAGTAGTATTTAAGGAGAATCACCTAAAAGTGTGAAAAAAATATCATGTGACAAGAATAAAAGGAAGATTTCCTGGCAATGTCAGGGTCACTCTAAAATATTACTAAACTACAGTGGAAGATGGACATGTCCTGAGAAAAAGCCCTTTCTACTTTCCTTTATTCCTATGGAGTGTTCAACTATATGCGTTTTGAATTATAGAAGGTCTTCAGGAATATAGCCTTGAATAAAATGTGAGTGCCTTGTAAAAATCTTAATTTCAAGAAGTCTTTTATCAAGCCACTCCCAGATTCTCCTGCCTAGCTTCCACTTACTTTTCTTTCCCTTGCTGTGAGTACTCTATTTCTAATTTTAAGCTCTTTTTGATGATATTCTCTATGGCCAGAATATTCTAACAAATATAAAACTCAGATTACTGGAAGTTTAATCCAACATAAGGGAACTGTTGAGACAAGCCACCTTTGGTTAGAACTCCCAGTGAGTGCTAGAGCTTCATCTTTACGGAGTTTCTGTCTATATACAATTTATTTTATTTTATTTTTTTTTGGTATCATTAATATACAATTACATGAGCAACACTGTGATTACTAGATTACCCCCATCATCAAATCCACACCACATACCCCATTACAGTCACTGTACATCAGCATAGCATAGTAAGATGCTATAGAGTCACTACTTGTCTTCTCTGTGCTATACTGCCTTCCCCGTGCCCCTCCCACTACATTATGTGTGCCAATTGTAATGCCTCATTTTCCACTTATCCCTCCCTTCTCACCACCACCACCGCCAGTCCCTTTCCCTTTGGCAACTGTTAGTACATTCTTGGGTTCTGTGAGTCTGCTGCTGTTTTGTTCCTTCAGTTTTTGCTTTGTTCTTATGCTCCACAGATGAGTGAAATCATTTGGTACGTATCTTTCTCCGATTGGCTTATTTCACTGAGCATAATACCCTCAAGCTCCATCCATGTTGTTGCAAATGGCAGGATTTGTTTTCTTCTTATGGCCGAATAATACTCCACAGTGTATATGTATCACATCTTCTTTATCCATTCATCTACTGATGGACACTTGGGTTGCTTCCATTTCTTGGCTACTATAAATAGTGCTGTAATAAACATAGGGGTGCATATGTCTTTTTCAAACTGGGCTGCTGCATTCTTAGGGTAAATTCCTAAGAGTGGAATTCCTGGGTCAAATGGTATTTCTATTTTGAGTTTTTTGAGGAACCTCCATTCTGTTTTCCACAATGGTTGAACTAGTTTACATTCCCACCAGCAGTGTCGGAGAGCTCCCCTTTCTCCGCATCCTCGCCAACATTTGTTGTTGTTTGTCTTTTGGATGTTGGCCATCCTAACTGGTGTGAGGTGATATCTCATTGTGGTTTTAATTTGCATTTCCCTGATAATTAGCGATGTGGATCATCTTTTCATGTGCCTGTTGACCATCTGAATTTCTTCTTTGGAGAATTACCTGTTCATATCCTCCACCCATTTTTTAATTAGGTTATTTGCTTTTTGGCTGTTAAGGCATATGTCTAGATACAATTTTATATACATATTTTAGCTGTGTAAAAGCAGATCTTTGCTCCTGTTTCAGATTCCAGATGCCACATATACCAAGTTGGACACACAGTAATACACTCAGTTACTTTTCCCTAAGTTAAATATCCTAGCTTAGACATTTACATCACAATATTTTAGAATGTTAGCAGAAAAAAAGTCCAGAAAGATTCCCTTTTACACAATGCAGCAAAGGTGGTTATTGCCTCCTCGATTATCTGTCCTTTTCTTATCCCTTTGTAATACAGTATATAATATAGCATTGACTATCTGATGGATATGATGATGGAGCTCTAGGAGCCCTCTTAGATAAGGCAGACCTGCTAGGAGTGGTGAAGCAGAAAGCCAGATGGGGTCTCAGTCCTAAGGACTTTGTGGAACCACCATGTTAGCCCTGGCCTGTCTACATGAGAGAATAAATCTTTGTGTATTTCAGTCATTCTTAATTTGGGTGTCATTTACTTGCAGTCAAACCTAATTCTAAGGGACAAATCAGGACACTCCATAAAAAGTTCTCAGACAGAAATATTCTTTTTCCTGCAGCCACCTTTTCTCACAGACTCTGAAGAAAACAGCCAAATAAGATAAGTACTATAAGAAAGGAATGCAGAAATTCTGGGTAAATTCAAAGTAAAGAAAAAAGGCCATGGAGAAGTATCATAACCAAATTAACTATACTCTTCCAGGAAACTGTTTCCTGAAAATATAGGAAGATTTGAGTTAGAGGTATTGAGGTTTGAGGTCTCTTTCTACTGTACTTTCTGGCACTCTTCAAAGTAGAATGAATATTTATTATACCTTTATTTGGGTATAAAGTTATAATTATGGTTGATGGCCTTTTTATTATCTCAATGACATTTTATCACCAAATTTAGACCTGAAATTTCTTACCTGACCAGCAGCCTGAATGCTCAGGATGGCCACACGAGTATCAGGATCCTTTTGAAATTGATTAACCAGACGTATTCTTTCTGCAGATGGAACACTTCCATCTATTCTAATGTAACGAGTCTAATATCAACAAGGGAAATGGCAAAATCAGGTCAAGCCCCTTTGCACCTATCTCATTTTATATATTTTATAGCTTTTTTTTTTATGATCACAGAACAAGACAGAAATGTTCACAAAACAAAACATATGATGGATTGGCATATGTTATACAAGAAGAATCTTAACCATATTTCTCAGTAGCTTCTTAATGATTTCATATTTTTTAATCTTTTAATCAACTTGAGGGTAGGATCTATGTCTGATTCATCTTCCTATCATCAATGCCAAGTGTAATGCCTTGTACATAACAGGAACTCCATAAATCATAAAGGAATTAAGCTAAATGTTGTCTTCAGTAAGTTTATGTAAATTCATATGCATTCATATGCAAACTTAAAATGATGGATCAGACCAACTTTAAAGTTACAGAATCATTAATTCTAAAATAAAAATAAAGTCAGACATGGGAGAGAGGAGAAAGAGGATTCTGCCACTTATTAAGTATTCATGAAGAGTAGTAAATTTATTTCTGAAACATACCAAATCAACTGGGAAATATCTCTTCTAAGGTACCATTTCAGCTCTTTCTTCACATTCTTAAACTTAAATATGTGATATGGTCATTCCCATTGAGGTTGGGAACCAGGACAACCATACATGTTTTTATTTTTTTCTTCTAAAGATGTGCCAAGGATATCTAGTCTCACCACTTTATTTTTTATCTTATTATTTTTAAAATTAAGGTATCATTGATATACACTCTTATGAAGGTTTCACAAGAAAAACAATGTGGTTATTACATCCACCCTTATTATCGAGTCCCCTCCCATACCTCATTGCAGTCACTGTCCATCAGTGTAGTAAGATGCCAGAGTCCCTATTTGTCTTCTCTGAGCTACACTGTCTTCCCCATGACCCCACACATACCATGTGCACCAATCATGATAACCCCACAATCCCCTTCTCCCTCCCTCACTACCCGCCCTCCCACACCCCTCCCCTTTGGTAACCACTAGTCCCTTCTTGGAGTCTCTGAGTCTGCTAATATTTTGTTCCTTCAGTTTTGCTTTGTTGTTATACTCCACAAATGAGGGAAATCATTTGGTATTTGTCTTTCTCTGCCTGACTTATTTCACTGAGCATAATTCCCTCTAGCTCCATCCATGTTGTTGCAAATGGTAGGATTTCTTTCTTTCTTATGGCTGAATAGTATTCCATTGTGTATATGTACCACCTCTTCTTTATCCATTCATCTACTGATGGACACTTAGGTTGCTTCCATATCTTGGCTATTGTAAAAAGTGCTGTGATAAACATAGGGGTGCATATGTCTTTTGGAATCTGAGAAGTTGTTTTCTTTGGGTAAATTCCTAGGGGTGGAATTCCTGGGTCAAATGACCCATACATATTTTTAAAAAGTAGGAAAGCATTAAGTGCTAAACTGAACAGTGCTCTCTTTTAAGAATGATTGAGCTGTGAGAAAAGGGAGTGATTGGAATGTTAGGATAGCTAAAAAGAACTTTACTTAACTTTGTAAAAATAAGCATAAGCCCTGAATTTCAAATAGTTTCATTTATATATGCACTTTTATGAAAAACACATAACTTTCAAGAGTTGAGACATGAATATTCACTTTTATAATAGTCAAGTTAATCATTAAATAGAATGTCCCTTATTAACTTTCTATGAGTTCACAAAACAGACCTAATTCGATCAGTGATCCATTTAATGTCCAATAAGGGAGACTTAAAAATCTTCTGAGGGTCTTTCTAAAGAAAACACACTGTTAGACTAGGGAGAGTTTGGGAGAAATTCACCTCCAACGCCATGACATTTTTAACTCTTAGTGATGCTAAATGGGATCCTAAACATACCAGCTAAGCAGAAGTGGGAACAAGACACAGATTACTTATACTTGGAATAGATTCCAGTAGTTTTAAGGTATAATGGAATCAGAATAAGAAAATATTATGAATCTAATTTTACTGCCCAATCATTTAAAAAATATTTCTAAGGTTAATTAACTTCCTCAGAAGATGTTTTACAGATACTATGTGATAATCAATAAGAAAGCACCTTTTAATATACACCACTTTACTGTATTATATTATCATAAATCTTTCTATGACAGAAACACCAGAATTATTTCTTTGGTAATGTTAATGACCATATTAGTTAATGCTTGAAAAACGCATGCGAAGTTTTAAAAAACATGGCTTTATTCTTCCATTTAAAAATCTACCTAAACAGGCAAGTGGTTTTGCTACTACACATACGTTAAACTCACACAATTTGCCAGGAAATGTCTTCTGGCTGCCTCTGAGCATCTCTGAAAGCCCTCCACACACAAAGAGAGTGACAAGTTTAAGCTTTGAAAGAAAAAATGGCAGATGCTCTCACTGATCAGACTGTTGGGGAACAAGGCAGAACTAAGAAAATGTGGCAAGGCCAGCAGATTTGGTGGAGTTTACCTGACAGAGTACCTATACTGTATGTCTCACATTCACCCCCAGTAAATCTTATTAATCACATTCTATAGAATATGCTGCCTGGAAGCTTAAAAGGTATGACTGCAGCTGGATACTAACATTGGCTGAATTCATTATTCCTTTCCCCTTGACATCAACCACAATCAAAGCCTGCCTCACGGGTAAATAAAAGTTTTAATTTTTAACTTCCTATACTAATCTGAAATGGCATACCCAGTAACAGAAGAGGAATTCTCACATAGCTTACCAAGGTGGCACATTTTAATCAACCCAAATAATAAGATAAGTGGAAAATTGTTAAGACTGGTATGAAAGAGAAAAATTTAACAGTGTATCATCAACACAATAGTAATAAATATTTATAATTTGCAAGAAAAATACCTAGTAATAACTGATACACCATCATGTAAAGAAGGCAAAAAGATCACTCAATTAAAAGATGATAATTAATGTTTAGCATATTAAAATCTTCATTTTAAAAAAGTATTTTATGGAAGAACATGGTAACATACCTTGTTTTCTATGACTGCTTCTGTACAAGCTTGGAGCATGCTTAAATGGTGAGCAAAAACCAGAAATTTAAGTGAATCGTTCTGAAGTATCATCTTAATATAGTCCTTTACAGCACCTGCCTAAATATTAAAAGTGAAACCTTATTAGTGTCATAAAAACATTTATTAGAAAATCATGTCATTTTCTTTTAGTAAAACAAGGAAAACTTCTCAAAAATCAGTATGCTTCTGTGAATTTTTAACCACTTTTTTCCTAGATAGACTAATGAAGTAGAACCCACATGTAAGGAATCTAGGAAAGAAGAGGGACAAGAGGGGGAAAAAAACTGAGAAGTAAAGCAAGAACAACAGAATCAGAAGAAAAAGTTTCAATGGAAAATAGGTAGTCAAATAGGCTATGGCCAAGAAGGGGCTTGGTGGTTTGTTTATCTTATTATTACAAATTTTTGAGGTGCATACAGTGAGATGCACAAATCTTAATGTACAGCTCCATGAATTTTAACATGCATAATGCTCACCTAGATCAACATATCAGTCTCACTAATTTTGCTCCCTTCCCCTATTTTCCCCATCCTCCCACCCCCCGACCTGTAACAACCACCAGATTTTCTGTATCTATGAGTCTATTTTTGCTTGTTTTGTTTTTTAATGGTGATTTTGTTTATAAGGTAATTTTCTAAAAAGCTTCATAGATGACTAAGTGGAATAGAGTTAAGGAGAAAATGGAAGGTAAAAAACCACATGAATAGATTTTTTTTTTAAGGAAGACCAAATAAGAATAAGAAAACTGGGACTGAAGCTTAAGGGTTAAGGAAAGTTGATTTTTAACTAAGAAACCAATGTAGGTTTATAAACTGGTCATTTAAGGTGTAGATAGGTTAAGAGAAATGGAAAAGGGGATTAAGCTTGTCTCCAAGATGTAGAAGGTCATGAAGAGGCTGGAATGATGGGATTAAGAGCACAGGAGGGGGCTGTGTGCATAGGTGGAGATGCAGATAAATTATAAGGTAGAATGGAGAATATCAAGAAAGTTTGGCTTAAATAGCTTTTTCTTAGCTTGAGACAAAGTTACCTATTAAGAGTGACAATTCAATAAGATGAATTAAATAGGAATTAAATTTAAAGAGGATGGGATGAATTAAATATAAAAGATGAATAGAGACTCTTAACTGTTAAGAACTAGTTACTTAGAAATCTTAGGAAAAGATAGTAGTTTAACACATTTAACCTCCTCTCACACTCAATGCTGTACGTAAATGATCACAAGGTATATAGGACAAGGAGAACTGGGGAGGGCTCAATAGTAACCAAACTTTGCAAGCTATAAAGTAGACAGGTTTCTTGATTAGCCTACATGACAGTTGTTAAGGTGGAAGTATGTAAAGTTCAGAAGCTCCTGATTTACAATATGGTGATCTAAAAAAGCTAGGAAATGATACATCTAGAATTTAGGGTGGGGGTGAGGCTAAAACAGAAAGATTGGTTGAAAGTATAAATAGTTGATTGTATGCCACACTGATCCTTATTCTCTCACTACCTATTTCACACAAAAAGTGACTTTCTCAAAATCATTCTGGCAGAAAACTAGAGATTTATTTTCTAAAGAAGGTAAAACAGAGGAATCGCACATTGATGACAGGCTATCCTACAAAATTCATGGGGATTAAATGAAAGTCACATAATAAATGCTGAGATCTGCCCTTCTCCCTAAGGCCTTCTTACCTCCACAGCTTCCACAAAAAGAAAAAACAGGTTTATGCCCTCTCTGCTGGAAAGCAGAATCAAATAAAATGATTCATTTTCGGGGAATCTGACAAGCCAAAGATAAAAGACTAAAATGCTGATAATGGGAGTTCCTACACCAGACACCCTAGTTAGATTACCCTTTTTTGAAGGCCATAATCTATAAGCCATATCCATTTACAGAGTTTCCAGTCAATGTTTACTGTCTTACTTGTAAATATGAGCAAACAGCCAAGGATCACCAGGTTTTTATAGAAAGGGACCTATATGAACAGATAAACAGTGCAGAGAGAAGAAAACTATGAAAGATTACATTTATAAAAAAAAGAACAGGGTGATATAAAAAAGGAATAGTTGGGAGGTTACTATTGGAAATTAAAAGTAAAATAGCAGAAAATAAAAATTCACTATTGTTAGTTAAACTGATGAAATCTTTGAGAAAGTAGATGGAAAATAATAAATATAAAAATATAAGAAAATCAGAGGACCAGGTCATGAGGGCATTGTATGAATAATAACAGTTCTAGAACATTGAGGAAAGGAAATAATCAGAGAAATAGAGAATGTCTTAGAGCACTTAAGGACAGGAATTTCCAAAATGGAAAATGGAGAAGGCCCACTGAGGAATCTTCAGAATGGATGAAAACGGACCTAGAGCAAGGTCCACATCATGAAATTTTAGAGTACTGGGAACAAAAAAATGTTTCTATAAGCTTCCAGAGAGGGTAAATAAAGAATTAAAATAGAATAATTAAGATTTTGAAGTGCATTGGTTTTCTCAACATCAATACTAGAAATTCTGAGGGAAAATAATTTCTAACTAATAATTTATACCAGCTAAATTAAATATCAGGAATAAAGGTAAAATGAAGACAGTTTCAAATATTCAGAGAGTCAAATGATTGAGGATGATGGCAAACTTCCGGCTTCTCTTCAGGTCCCGCAGGCGCCACCTAAAGCCCAATCACCTCTCACCCCCCTCTAAATCCCAGCACCTAGCCAACAGCCACCAGCCCCGTAGAAGTAACACCACAATTATCCCATGCCCCTTCCTATATAACCCAGCACCATTCCCTAATAAAGCGAATTCTCCGGTGAATTGCTGCTGTGTGTCGCCCCTTTCCTTTCATTGGTGCCGAAACCCGGGAGACGGGACACACCAACTGGGCCCCGTCTTCCCCCCGACACCAGCAGCAGCTTGCCCTCGTCCTCTTTTTCCGGCGCTGGCGCATCACACTCACCACTCCTCTCTGGCCTTTAGGTAAGTTTTCCCCCCGGAG